CCCCCCCTCCCAGCACCCCCCTCCTACAACACATCTCCAAATCCAAACTCAACACCAGACTTCTATTCACACTCACACGCCTTCTCCCACCACAATCCCAATCCCAACGCAGCAACAGCATACCCACCCTACACACACCAAGACGCATACTTCTCCGCCACACCTCAAAACGGTACTTATACTGCAGCACACCACTTCGCACCAGCACCAGCACCGCCTCAGGAACTAGCGCCTACAAGTCCCTCAACGACACCCAAAACACCCGCGCAGTTCCGCGTGCACAAGAGTATGTACGGGCATGTAAGGGGGCCGTCAGAACTGCGGGGGGACGAGGCGGCGAGTGAGTTGGAGACGGGTGTGGGTCGTGGTCATGCTAAGAAGGGGGAAAAGAGGGGGCAAGTACAAATGGAGATGGAGATGCAGGAGGTCAAGCGTAAGCAGGAGCAAGAGGCATCATCATTGTCATCAGGAGTCTGGAGAGAAGCAGAGGCAGACGGATAGGGTGACGGGGAGACAGCGAAAGAAGGTTCTACGACACACGAGGGAATCTGGGTAAGTAGTAGTGCCGAGTCGGGGGTTGATTCGTTATCACCATCGGCATCACCAATTCCACCAAATCCCCCATCATCATCATCATCACAACAACAACAACAACAACAACAACAACAACAACAACAACAACAACAACAACAACAACAACAACAGCAGCACCAGCAATCTGCAAATCAGCCGCGCAACAGCCAAACCTTGAACTCTACATCGCCATCACCATCACCATCACCATCACGCATAAATGCAAAATCACAGCAACCATATCAAGTCGGAGAAGAAAAAACCAAACCCCAGATGCAGCATCAAAAGAGTCAGAAGCAGAACAGCAAGAAAGAAAAGGAATAAAAACACACACAAGATACCCAAGACACACCGAGAAAAACACACACACACACACACACACACACACACACAGTACAAATAATTCCCTACTTACTCACACGACCACAGTAGTACCTAGGCGTTTCGCATATCGCGGCTGCCATGGCTGAGCTGAGCTGCGCGGCGCACGAGGGGCGCAGGCGACAGGTGCAGGCGACAGGTATGGGGCAGGTATGGGGGGGGGGCAGAATGCAGGGCTAGAGAGAGTTGAGAAGTTAGAGGTGAGAGATGAAAAAGTAAATGAAATGAAATGAAATGAAATGAATACGTGAGATATGCTCGAGAGGAGGTGTACAGGAGGAGGGGTACAGGAAAAGAAGGAGGGGAGGGGGGTGAATACAAAATATTCGATAATGTTAGAATGCGGGTAAGTAGTTATCTTTTTTTTTCATGTTGCGCCATGTATGTATCTATGTAAATCTAATGTAAAAATTTTTTTGGATTCTTCTTTTTATTTCAGGTAGATGGATAGTTGGGATACCGTGATAAAGGATAGGACAGGACAGGACAGGATAGGGCCTGGGGTTTGGCTAAAGATAAGACACATGTACTGTATACTACTAAGCAGGTAGCTTTCAATACACACACACAGACACCGACACTCGCCTTTCGCCTTTCATTTCATTTCATTTCAATTCATTTTAATTCGTTTCAAGTCAAGGCTAGGTTTAAAAAACAGTGCCATCGCTAAGAATAATAATAGGACTGCTCTTCGTATCCGGGCGCTTCATCTTAGCCACTTCCCTGCCAGCCTTCCAGGTTCCGGCTTCGAGGAGCTGCGCCATGCTGAGCTCCACGCCGTGCATGCGCTGCAGCACAAGCTTGTAGAGTTTATCGACGAGAACGAGCGTCATGGCACGCCACTCGACGATAGCGTCGTCGCCCGCACTGAAAGCCGGGAGGCCGGTGCCGTCGGACGAGGCGCTGATGCCGCGTTGGAGCGTCGCCGGCTTGAGCGTCAGGACGCCGACATCGACAAAGAGACCGCCGTTGCGGTATTCTGGGAGCGCGGTAAGCGCAGAGGCGTTTTCCCATTGGAGAGAGAGGATGCGGGTGAAGGGGACCATGAGCGAGTAGGCGAGCCATTGCGTCAGTTTGTGGAAGGGCTGGATAAAGGCCGTTTCATCAGCCGACGAGGCTGTCTGCGTCTTTAGCGTTGACAGGGGCCATGCGTCGCCCAGGGGCTGGCCGTTGACGTTTGTGCGGTCTTGGGGCCAGATGGGGATGAGCAGCTTTTGGAGAATGTCCCAGAAGACGAGCACGTCTAGGCTGGAAGGGTTGGCCGAGTTCTTCTTCATGTAATCTGTTAAAAGACAATTGGTAAGTACGGTATTTAAGGTCATTCATGAGGGTTCTTTCTCACCAACAACGTTTCCGGGACGACCCTCTGGGCCAAAGATCTCCGGCTGGGATAGCAGTGACTTTCCCAGGCTGCGGAGGAGGTTGGCGCGAGAATCAACGCCCAGCATTGGGTTCTTGTCGGAGATCTGGAAGCCGTCTGCGAGTGCTTCTGTCTTGAGGTCCTGCAGGCCTTTTCCATCCACAATCGGCTGTTTATCATTCTTGGCAGCTGCAAAGCCCAGGCTCTTGAACATGTACAGACTGGCAACTGCAATTCCCTCACTGCGTTCATACTCGCGCTCAGTCCCTGGCTCAACATAGCGCCAGTGATCTCCCGCCCCGGCATCCAACAGCACCGAGACGAAAAAGAGGTCGATCAGGCGGCGCGTCGTCTCCAAGTCATCACATCCGCCTTGCTTCCACTCCTCAAGAAGCTTGGAGATGCGGGGAACGTTGCCCACTTCAAAGTGTTGCCATCGGCCATGCGGGGGAATGGTGTGGAACTTGTCTGGACCGTAATCGCGCTGATAGAAGTACCATCAGCAATCACAGTACATTGCAAGCTGTGAATTTTCCGACCAACCTTGATGACAGAAGTCACGAAATCCGCAGCCTCAGCCAATTGCTCTTCGTGCACGTCAAAGTGACTCAGCTTTCCCGCCTCAGCCGCCTCTCCCACAATCTTTGAGCGCTCGCGGACAGCGCTGAGGGAGAGCAGATATTTCACCTTGTCATCCATGGTCGTGGTATAGCTTGAGAGATAGGATGAATAGGAACCGTGAAGCTTGAGGTTGAGGGGTGGTGTTGTTCAGTGGAGTTTAGCGTGGCACTAAACCAGCCACGCTAGCCTGTGATGGGTAGTTGCTTCTTACAAGGACCACTTTGGTGGCAGCAACTCGTGACCTCGTCGGCGTCTGCCGATGCATCGCTGTAGACGGTACCAAACACCTTGCAATGCTTACTGCGATGACATTGAGCGACAAAAGACCGAGTGCAGAGCTGACACGTTGAGAATATACATTTCATTACGGAGAGTTTATCGTCATTTCGCTGAGCGGTGTCGTTGAGCTTAGGATAGTAGACACGGCGCCTTCTCCTAGAAGAGGTGGAGAAGAGCCAGTTCATGTAACCCATGCCCAGTCCACCACTTCGACTGGTGCTACAATGTGGTTCCTTGGCCAGCCCATGTGCTGATGATCCATGCCTGACATCTTCTACTCGTAAAAACAACGAAGCCGCCAAAACAAAAGCGACTTTTCAGGCTGCGAAGAGAACAATACAACTAGCGCTCCCTCGACGAGGAGGCTAAGAAAAACATGACAAGCGGCCACGGCCTCTGGTATGCATGCTGCGCGCACCCAGGGCGCTGCCACCGAGACGAAGGTAACTGACAAAGGAGGAGAGAAGCGGAACAAAGATGAGTGAAGGTACGCAAAGACGAGCCTGAAAAAAAAGATGCTGTCCCAAGAATGCACGCGTCGAATCAAAAGGTAAACCAAGTGAAGCTCACAGATGCAATGCTGTCATCTGCACTTCCCGCTGGCACCTGCCATGTCGCGCGTAAAAAGGTATCATAGCCCGCCAACTGCCAGAGATGAAGGAAAACCAAAAGCAAGTGCTGCAGAGACGAAGGGCTGCTTTTGAAAAATGGGATGTTGAGACTCAAGGAAATACCGTGGTTCGGATGCGGCGTTTGTCATTAATGTAAGGTCAATAGAGGCATGGAAAAGTAATGCGGAAATCAATCGTCGCTGTTGAGGGATCGGCCTGGGTCGCTGATCTGTGGGGTTCGCAGCTGCGAAGAGCTGCCGAAACTAGACAACTGCTTCTCTGGCTCCTTTTGACTGTTTGGCTTTCGTTTGAAGAAGCTCATAATCTTGCCCGTCGTGGTTTTTCGGCCAGGACTCGAACACGTGGGTGACGTCGTGGGCGAATCGGCATTGGGAGGCGCTAGCGTGTCGGGCATGACTTCCTTGACCGGAGTGCGTGCCTCCATGTCGCCGTTCCTCACATCGCGCGTACGTCGTCGTGAGCCCATTTGTCGCCACCAGCTGGAGTCGCGCGAGACATCGGAGCGGGCTGCGTTGCTGTCTGCGCTCAGTTTGTTGTTCGTGTCCCATCGCTGCAGCTTTGAGCCATCAAGGTTTCCGTTGGCTGAGTGGGACAAGTCAACTTGGGAGTGGCTTTGAGACGAGGGCTGTGTTGTTGGGTAAGGGTCGAGGGCTTCGACATGTTAGTTTCATGCAGCATTTGGAATAGTTTGTTTCGACCTACTTTGACTGCGCCTAGCATGGGAGGGGGCCGTAACAGGCCTGGCGCTATCCCTGTCCTTCTTCAACGAGGATGACCTGGTCAGTGTATCCTTGCGATCTGCCCTGGACCGATCGTCTGGATTTGCCGACTGTCCTTTCGAGGCTTGGTCAGAGGCGTTTGGAGTCTGGGTAACCAAAATGGCAGTAAGGCTAGGATCCCGACTGCCTCGCCTGGATGAGCTTGCATTCTCGTTGGAACCCATGGATCTTTGGCCTGGGATAGGCGTGGTAGACGACCGCCGCGAGCTCCTGTCTATGATGGATGATGACCTTCTCGAGTCTGACGCCGCGGCTATGGCTTGCATCGAGCCAGTCGATCCTCTGCGAGCCGCTTCTTCGGGAGAAATGGTCTTGATGGCGCTCAGAGGTATTTTGATGGCGGGCCTGGATGATGATCCTCCAGAAAGAGGGCTTGGGGTTGGATCCACAGCGAAGCCTGATGTGAGCAGTCCAAGATTCATATTCTTGTTCTTCTTTTTCTTGCGCCGTTCCTCTTCTATCTTGTGTTCCCAGATAACCTTGTTAGTCAAGATTTCGTCGACTGCGAATTGCATGGCGGGTAGAATGTCTGCCACTGCTTCGAATAGTGGCCTGGCAAAGATGTTAATAAAACCGATCTGGGATTCGCCAAGCTTAACGACGTCGTCGCGGACCGGTGGACCCCCGAAAAGACACGAGGGCATCTCCAGTTCCTCTTCCATGAGACCTTGATTGCAAAACTCATCGGTAAGAATGTTGACCCATTTGGCAGCCGTGTCGAATTTCCGCGACTAGAGAAAAAAAAAAGTGTCCAGTTAGCACATGCGCTACAGCAAATTGAACAGAAAAAAAAAACAAAGACGTACCACATTACAAATGTCGGCACATTTTATGAGCAGACCACATGTCAGATCCTTTTGCTCTTCCTGAACTTTGGCGCTCCACCCGTCTACTCCTCGATCGTGCGCAACCTTTTGTTGTAGGTTGCCCAAATCGCTCATGTACTTGAAATGAAGGCCCATATCCGTTGCAAGTATGTTGTTGATCATGAGTTTGCGCATGGGAATATCGGAAAAAGCTTTTGGCCAGTATCGTCGTAGGATTTGCGAATAGGCGGCGCAATGGAAGGATTCTAGAACGGAGCGGTCGTTGTAAAGTTGCGCTAGTGGCGCATTCAATGCAACTAAGAATGCGTTGTTGACACCCGGGTGGCCGACGTCGTGGCCAATGGCAGAGATCAACAGCGTGAGCGCATCGAAGGGCTTGAGAAGTTGGGCAATGGGCGACTTTGGGGCGTAGAAGGTATACGTGTCGGAGGGATATACGGGCAGGGTGCCTATTTGGACAAGGAAGTGGAAGAGGGCTTGGAGGACATCGACAACATGGCGGAAGTTGTGGTATTTGACAAACTCATTGTATGCCGTACGACATGCCAGGAGAAAGACAATCATCTCGTCTGGTAGTGTGTTAGTGGACAAGGTGATGAGAGGGGCCGTAGAGAGAAAGAGTACTTGCCTTCGGTGATTAACCATTTTTCCAGCTCGGGCATCTGTAGCGCATGCTTGAGCATTACCAAAGCACCGTAGAGCAGCTCATCGTCAGTAAAGTCGTGGGCGGAAAAGGCCCACATTCCCACGGCGTTTTCAACAAGCACCTTGCGGTCATGGTCGAGATGAAAATCCCTACGATGGTTAGCCATGCACCTCTATGCCCGCAGCGTATACGCACATGGAGTCAAGGGAGTCTCCCACAGTCTCGGGATTGCAAATCCCAGTCATGAGATTTGAAACCATGGCCTCACGCAAGTAAGCATAGGGCTTCGCGTCATCGACGCCGACCCAGGAAAGCTTCCGATTCCGCTTAGTGGTCAGAAAACTTGCTTCTTCCCGGTTAAATTCTTTCTGTAACCGGTAGGCATGAACAGCCAAGCCGAGCATGCGGTCTCTTGACATGGGACTCGTCAGTACGTCGACAGCACCAGCATCGAGATAGCGCGTCAGGCGGACTGAGTCGCTCAGCGGAAACGACATGTGTAAGCTGGACGACGGGTGCGGGCCCGATGACGTGGGCTCGTCTTGCGTCAGTCCCGACAGCATGACGACGGGGACGACGAGTTTGGAGAAGTTGCGCGACGAAATCTCCGACGAGATGTGGGTGAGGAGGTGCATGGCGTAGATGTCGTCGGGCTCGGTCGTGTCCATGCGGGTGAGGCGTGACGACGTGGGCGAGGGCGTGCGTGGTTCGCGGGACAGACGTTTCATGCGCTGCTCTTCGTCGTATGGGATATCTATTATGACAAAGGTAGGAATGCCGCTCTTGGTGTCGTCAATGAGCTGGTCAATCTTCTGGAGGCAGGCCCGGCCTGTGCTGCAGATGTGTACTAGACAACCAACGGGTCAGTATTCGGGGGGGCCAAGGCATTGGGGGGGGGGGTNCGGGCATGGCGCGCATCGTACCTTCGGCGGAGATGGACAGCATGGCCTCGACATTGTCATGCACTTCGCGCGGCGATGTCTTGCCCATGGCAAAGT